GTGTGTGTGTGTGTGTGTGTGTGTGTGTGTGTGTGTGTGTCTGATGGCAACTGAGGATAATGACACTCCAGATGATGGTCCTCTGTCTGTAATGTTGTGATGAGAGATGAGCACTGTTCCCATTTTCCAGGAGGTTATTACTGTGATGGAGGAGGTTCACAGGGCGGCTCAGTCACTACTGTCACACACATGCACACACACACACACATCCCCGTACCTCTATCTCATTGACATAATTCGCTCCCTTCCCCTAACCTTCACCGTCACGGCTGTATCAAAGTCAATACTGAGATCTGGTTTAGCAAATGCAGCCTAACTACTGTGGTTGATTAAGCTTCCTGGATGATTTCTAACACTCCTTATTTGTTATGTGTTTGTAGTACATTATTGTACACACAGGGCTGTGAAAAGGTTGAGCACACACTGACTCAGACCATAATCAATCTTGGCGCATACTTTATTCTTGGCTGTGTGTGTGTGTGTGTGTGTGTGTGTGTGTGTGTGTTTTCCCAGCTTGGTTTATGGATCACAGTGTTTATGTGTATCTTATTTAAACACTCCTCACTAAACAGGAGGCCGATGACTGTTCCACTTACTGAACTGCTGTGGCAGCCCCCTGTGAAGCGTGCAAAAGCATGCGCAAAACAAACGCAGACGCCCCAAAGAATCCATGCACACACACACACACACACACGCACACACACACATTCCCTCCACATCACCCGTCCAGTTGCCTTTCTAAATATAGGCCTGCAGAGCACTGTTGGTCAAAATCTATTTGGACGCGTACGCACGCAACGTTTTTTGCACATGCAAAAACAAACCGTTGAATACAGGAGTAAATAATAGCAAATAAACACACTTGCCACTTTGTTATAGTTCGTCCACTAACCATGCCACCACTCACCTGAGACCTGGGTATGAAAAACATTTGCTAACGCTTCCAAAGACAGCGACTGTTCACATCTGGTGGCCATTTACTCGGCAGGTTCCCAGCAGTGAGGAAGAAGTTCATCTCCGAGCTGAAGGAGCTGAGACAGAAGGAGCAGAGCCCCTACGTCATCCAGTCCACCATCAGCCTCATCATGGGACTCAAGTTCTTCCGCATAAAAATGTACCCGGTGGAAGACTTTGAAGCCTCCTTCCAGTTCATGCAGGTAGAGCCGAAATCATTTGGTCCCTTACCTGATTTTTACATTCCAACAAATTGTAAAAAGGTTTTTTTACAGGACAGATGTGCTCTTTTCTTCATCTCCGGAAGCAGTTTAATGCTATTAAAGAGCTGACTATCAACAGATTCCCCCAGAGTAATTAGGGGTTATGTGCCTTTTTTATTCTCCCTTTGATGGTAATTGCAGTGGTGAGAATGTTTCTCATTTCCGCACACCCGTAGCGATACAGGGATTAGAACCAGTGACATTGCATTCACTGCATTATCAAGTACGTACATTGTTTCTATAACCGTCTCTGACTCTCTTTGTCTCCTCAGGAGTGTGCGCAGTATTTCTTGGAAGTGAAGGACAAAGACATTAAACACTCGTTAGCCGGACTCTTTGTGGAGATACTTGTACCTGTAGCTGCTGTAAGTTCATTTCATCTTCCTGCTGAGAGCACCTCAGTGTACTTTGGTCTTTTAAATACAAACGTCTGTCTTTCTGTTCACAGTATATCTGCTGGTCTTAATATATAGTGTTTATGTCTTGAGAATAATCACAGGAGAGTAATGAGAGTAATAATACAAATGTTAGGCTTGAATATATAGTGTCTTAGTAGTGTTGGCGTTTGACAAAAAGACTTCTCGAAGCTAACTTTTGAGTTCATCGTCTTCCTCCCAGACTGTGAAGAACGAGGTGAACGTGCCATGTCTACGGAATTTCGTAGAAAGTTTGTACGACACCACACTGGACCTGTCCTCAAGGAAGAAACACTCTCTGGTAAGTTTCTCCTTTTGTTCCGTTTCATCCCTCCTCCTCTCTCCTCATTTCCTCTCCATTAACAGCGATTAGGTGAAAGCACTTACTGTAACTCTTCAACATGCGGGCTTTTATCTTTCCATGGAAAGGAGACAGGAGTGCAGTGTGCAGTACACCTCTCTTATTGAGATGCAAACTGTCAGGAACAAACGCGCTGTAAAACAACTGTACATTTTCAGGACTGCTATGAAAAGGACCTTCTTCACTGCTTCAAAGTTTGAACCATAATGTCAAGGAAATTATAGAACAGGCAATAATCTCTGATGCAGGTGTAACACATGATGACTACATTATTTCCTGGTAACAAAAAGCTTCCTCACAAATCTTCCTATACATTTCTATTCATCTTTAGCTTATTGTATTAGTTCTTGAAGTCTTTTTTCTACAGCCTCCACATCAGAGGCAATATGTTTTTCGGCTTGTCTGTCCCGTTCTCGTGAACGCTATACGTCAGGAACGCCTTGAAGGATTGTTTTTAATTATTTGGCACAAAAATCTTGTTGTACTGATTGGCCATAACTCAAGGATTCATATGATAATTATAACACTTTCACATAGATATCTAATAATAAAAGGACTTTTTGGACAGACAAGGACGTAAACTGCAATGTGACCGGTTGGCGGAGGCATACGGTGGCGATGCAGTAATTATTTTAGTGCAGTAACCAGCTTTAATCTATCTCGTTTCAAACACTCATTTGTAGAAGATTCTTTAAAGTATTAAACCAAATTTTTATTAGGTAGTGATTTTTTCTTTCTAGTGCAGCTGAGCAATGCTTGCTGAGGCAATGTTCCCCTTTAGTTTTCTCCAAAAATGTTGCCCCGCCTTTGATAGACAGATAAGATGACAAACGTGTTGCATTATTGATGCTTGCTGCTAATGTGCTATTCGCGATACGTACCTCGGGTTCCCTCCTGCTGTGACGGAGTCGTGTCCTCAGGGCTGCAGACATCTTACTCGGCCATTATGCGTGTTTCCTTCGTCAGATTCTCCAAATAACCGTGAATTTGAGGCTCGACACACCTCTCTGCACACAAACGTTTTCTAAACGAACAGTGCGCAGGCATCCTGTGCGCACAAACAAACAATAGGCTGCCATGTCGGAGCAGAATGGGCAGGTATGATAGGAATGACAGTCATGTGGTGCAATCTGAGTACCTGCGAGAGACTGAAATGCGAGCAGGACAGATAACAACTTAGATAAAGAGTGACAGGTAAATGATGCACTCCTAAAAACCTAGCATTTCCATAACCATTTGTGACAAGGGTGTACCTGGACTCACACGGGTCATTGAAGGCTTTCATGTTTAACAATGATCTGTTGACCAGCTGGTTGAACCGACTAGACACCAAGTTCACATTCCTGTCTGTGAACTTTGTGTTGAGGATTCTATAAACTTGTCCATAAATGAATTAAACAGACAGCCAGAAAGAAACCTTGTGGCAATATAATGCATAGATACATAAGTGTTTAATTCCAGAGAGGAAGACATCGATCATTGAAGAAGCAAACAAAACAGTGTAATGCGGGATTCATGAGGCCTGAAACAAGTGGAACATGATTGTGAAAAGCTTAATCTGAAATAATGTGATTGCCCAATGTTTTTAGATGACAAAGGACGAGCTCAGAAATGAGGTTTCAGTTTAGAATGAATGATCCTTTTTAATGACTGACTTCATTAACTGCTTCAACATCTAAAAGTAGTTTCAAAGTCATTTGCATGCATGTAGAAAAATGGCGAGGCAGACAGCCTGAGTCCTTTATTTTGTATTTACATTCAATGAATGAACTTTGAATTTGAAGTACCCGATGCAAATGTCTCCCATCTGTCTTCTCTCTGTCTCTCCTCCCCAGGCTCTGTATCCTCTGGTGACTTGCCTGCTGTGTGTCAGTCAGAAGCAGTTCTTCCTCGGCCGCTGGCACATTTTCCTCAACAACTGCCTCTCAAACCTCAAGGTCAGCCTTTGCTGTCTGCCCCATGCAAATTCAAGAATTACCACAGTAGGCTTCATTTGTATAGATCACAAGTAGTGCGTGTGTGAGTGTCGTATTCACACACAGAAGCAATGCAGCCAGTGCAATAAGTATCTGTACATGCACACAGCACTGAACTTCACACTGCTGCACCAGCACAACATATACAATCAACCATCAGTATGTATTGCCCTGAGGGAAGCACTGCAGGTTAAGAACATAGTGATTGATGGGGGCTCATTAACACTTTGATTTATGATCACAATGAACGTCACAATATATGCTCTGCTAAGCAGTGTATGTAGTGCATGAAGTAAATCATGTGTATGTAAAGTATAGGGCTATTTAAAAAACAATTAAAATTGATCTTCATTTGAATGATCTGATATAGAGTATTTTTAATATCTGCCTTTTCACGTGGATTCGTGAAAACAAGCGAACCTCGGTGGAGTCAGAACATGCCGGGAGCTGCTCCGCTGAAGGCACCACCAAGCAGCAGAATTCTTCTCTGCTTCGATCGCAAACAACAGCTGATCTGCTCTGGGCACATTGCGGTGCTCTTATACCAATCAGTCTGACATCATCTGTAAACATGTGGATTGCACTTAAACCCGGCCTTGGCCAGTTTCACACAGTAGTACTGCGAGCGGTTTACAAGTTCTTTACTTCATCTGCTCTCGGTCGCTCTTTTTAATAGTGCACTGGGTTAAAGGGTTCCTTGTACAATTACAGCATTAGTCTGCTGACAATCTCTTGAATCCAATTGGGACCTTGTGAATCGGAATGGAGTCGATTGGGAAATCAGTTTGTGATCTCGAGCCTTTGTAAGGTACAATACATGAGGAATGCCTGTCTGTTTGGCTGAGAGTAATCCCTGTGAAACACGTTTGTGTCTCGTGAAATGCTGCACCTGGTGAAACACGATGAATCTTTGTCTGAATGCAGAATAGAGATCCAAAGATGGCCCGCGTGGCTCTAGAATCACTCTACCGCCTGCTGTGGGTCTACATGATCCGAATAAAGTGCGAGAGCAACACTGGAACGCAGAGGTAACCGCCACATGTCATGACATAATTATTATCAACAAGATGTAAGATATAACTTTAAACTGTGTTAGTGTTTAGCATCGATATGTCATTGTTACCTATATTGTTATACCTTGTTATAGCTATTATGAACAAATGAGGGCACAAAGAAAACTCTGTTTATGCTTCTTCTTTGTGATGTTTTAGCAAATGCAGGGCACTTTTATGGTGTTGTGTGTTATCATTAAACATGTTATGATTTTGCTGAGGTATTCAACTTGTCTCAACACTTTCCCCTCCCTCTCCGTCTGCCTCTCGTCTCTCTCGTCTCTCTCGTCTCTCCTTCCTCCCCCAGTCGTCTCACGTCCATCACCTCCACTCTGTTCCCCAAAGGTAGTCGGAGCGTCGTGCCCAGAGACATGCCGTTGAATATTTTTGTCAAGATTATCCAGTTTATTGCACAGGTGTGTATCGCACATGCACATACTCTCACACACAAAGCTGGTACACTCTGCTTTAGGCCATGAGAAATGAAGTGGCGCTTGTTGTGTTAAGTCTGGAGCCAACAATGTGCCAACGTCCAAGATTTATTCTGTGCTTCTTTCTCTGCTATCAATAAGAAATACAAACACTGGTTAATCAAACATTCTGGAAACTGGTCAAAAGCTAAAACGGCATATATGACATTTATTATAAAGAACACGTTTGGATAAATAACTTATTATATCCATGCATTGCCTTGTCCTTACATCTCTTTTTCCATTTTTTATTTCTCTTTATAAACAGTAAAAATGTCCTATTGGTGACAAACAGTCGATGGGCTTGCTGCCTCACACCACAATAACTCTGAAATCTTGTAACACCAGTTTGTTTGCCTTCTGTTCAGGAGAGACTGGACTTCGCCATGAAGGAGATCATATTTGATCTGCTGAGTGTCGGGAAACCTGCCAAAGCCTTCAGTCTCAACCCAGAGGTAAAGAGAGCAAGCGCAGACATTCAATCACGTGCACACAATCGCACACAGATCAACACTGTTTCCCGTGGGCCACGTTACAAGGATGAGCATTCCAGTTTTTATTTGTAGTCCTCAGTCAGCGAGGAAGGTAAAGAACGGCATGTACTCTGTTGGAGCACTGAATAGGAAATGCTGCAGCTGTAGCAAAGAGATGCACTTAGGGTTGATCATCTGTAATGTGATTACAGGGTTCTGGTCTTATGAACCAAAATAAATCATTAGAATCAATGCAGTTTAAAGGGAACCGATTTTACTCATTTATGTCTGTTTAGAGGTCTTGGGGAGATCTCCAGAGGGAGCTTGGAGATCTCCGATTAATTACCCAAAGTGCTGACACTTGAGTTTGAAAATTAAATATATCTGGAGGAATTAGATAGAAGTGAGTTTAGCAGACCTCTTGGCCATCTCCTCATCTCAGCTTGAGGCTAGTGGCTCGAGGCTACATTAGCCTCAACTAGCATAACGCTACTGAATCTCCAACCAACCTGTCCAGGGAAGTAAACATGGAATAAACAATTATTAACAATCACCAATGCGGTGAGTGTGTTTTGCGCAAATGTGCCATTGCTATTGCTAAACAGACTCTCTCTGCTGTGCTGTATCTGTGCTCCAGCGTATGAACATCGGTCTCCGGGCGTTCCTGGTGATTGCAGATGCTCTGCAACAGAAGGACGGAGAGCCTCCTATGCCCAACACAGGCGCCACTCTGCCCTCTGGAAACTCTCTGAAGAAGAAGAAGACTTACCTCAGCAAGACACTTACTGAAGAGGAAGCCAAACTTATAGGTGTGTGTGTGTGTGTTTCCGTAGGCATTCAAGACAGTGTATTGTGAATGTAGCCTCTAACTGCGTGCACTGTCTCTTCCTGTCCTACACAGGCATGTCTTTGTACTACTCCCAGGTGCGGAAGGCTCTGGACAACATCCTGAGACACTTGGACAAGGAGGTGGGTCGTTGTATGATGCTCACCAGCGTCCAGATGCTCAACAAAGAACCAGAGGACATGATCACGTATGTAACTGCAAAGTCCAGTGTTGTTTTTTTTGACCTACCGGTATTTGGAGTTACCTAACTATCCCCCTCTATCTTTGACAGTGGCGAAAGGAAGCCTAAAATCGACCTGTTCAGGACATGTGTGGCTGCCATTCCTCGTATCCTTCCTGATGCCATGTCCAAACCTGAGCTCATCGACCTGCTCTCACGGTGAGTTAAGAGACAAATATATACATTTGTGTTGGAACCCCGATGGTTTTTCTTTCTTTCAATGGCGTTCCGTACAACAACATCTTGTTCATTCAACTCTGTTCATGTGTTCTCCTCTATCCCCTCAGACTTACTGTGCACATGGACGATGAGCTTCGTCTTATTTCCCAGAATTCCCTGCAGAGCCTGTTACTCGATTTCTCAGACTGGAGGGAGGACGTCCTGTTTGGTTACACACATTTCCTTTTGCGCGAGGTATATCTGAACCTGACAGAAACATGCAGCTACCTCACCAATACGATACTAATCCTGCATTTGCAACTGTTACACTTCCTTTACACGTGTGTTTTCAACTTGGTTTATTGATAAACACCAGATATAAACCTTCTATAAATGTCCCTCTCTTAACGATTCCAGGTTCAAGACACCCATCAGGGTCTGCAGGATGCCTCAGTGAAGCTCCTTCTCCAGCTGCTCACTCAGTGGAGGTTAGCGCTGCAGCTCCAGGGGAAGACGCGAGGTGGAGTTGAGGTTTGTACTTTAAAACTACTACTTTACAGACATATTTTGTTGTTTGTTCATCCATCACGTCATCAAAATCTCAGAGAGGTTGAGTGCAGTTTCCTTGTGTTGAAATACGTTGGTCCGATGACGTAGCTCGTCACTGAAATGACAGTGATGAGCTGAAAGCAGGTTGGGGTTCTTCAAGTATGTCAATTTGACCCATGTAAAGTGTCAACTGCCATAACGATAGGTTTAATAACTGGTCAAACAAGGTGACTTACAGTAATATTTGTACTATTTACTTACTCTCCCTCTTTGTCTTCCCTCTCCATCAGTCCAGCCCCAGACTGCCAGAGCGAAGCCCTCACTGCTCAGTGCTCCATGCGGTCGAGGGCCTGGCCCTGCTGCTCCTCTGCTCGTGTCAGATCAGCACGAGGAAGCTGGCCGTCGGAGTGTTAAGAGAAATACGCTGCCTCTTCACAGCTCTGGGACATGCTGACGTGAGTACAGGAAGCTCACATCGTCACCAAGCAAACACAGTGGAGAATAATTCACAAGCTTCTCTGACATTTTGACAGATATTACCAACGTGTGTCACGTAGCCGGTGGCAAATTTCTGTAGCCGTCAATAGATATGCAGCATATACGGCGCATGTATTTTTCACATCCTATGACGCTGTTATATAAATAGCTGATTCTATGAATCTCCCTCCAGGACGATGACAAACCCATGATAGAGGTCATGGACCAGCTGAGCCCAGCTGTAATGGACAGCTTTGTTCATGTGGCTGTCTCTGACTCGGTACGTGTGTTTATGTGAAGCATGTATCGGTAACATTAGCACATCAGATACGTTATTCATATCTCAATCCTCCAAATGACTTCCTCAGCTGCTGTGTATCATTCTTAAACTCCTCCCCTCCCCTCCCTCAGTCTACCTTGCCCCTCAGCCACCATGTTGACCTCCAGTGGCTGGTGGAGTGGACGGCGCGACTGGTGAGCAGCTCCTACGACGTGAAGAGCCCCAGCCATGTCTGGATCTTTGCCCAGAGTGTGAAAGACCCATGGGTGCTCTGTCTGCACATCTTCTTGCGGCAGGAGCACCTTCCCAAACACTGCCCCACCGCCCTGGGATACGCCTGGCCCTACGCCTTCACACGGCTACAGCTGCTGCTGCCACTGGTTGACCCCAAGTACGAGAACACGCATTATTATATTGTACTTTTCAGGCATTTAACTGTTGCTTTAACAACAATCTGTGACCATAGAATGATATGTCATACAACAAATGATCCATGTGTATGGGAGATTCAAATATCTGACCACCTGCCTTTTCTCCTTTTGTCTTTCTGCAGCAGTCCAGTGAATGCTAAGAAGACCAGCACGGCCGGCTCCAGTGACAGCTACATCTCTCTGTGGCGTAACTACCTGATCCTGTGTCTAGGTGTGGCTAAGCCCAGCATCATGTCCCCCGGTCACCTCAGAGCCTCCACACCGGAGATCACGGCCACCACGCCCGACGGCAGCGTCACCTATGACAACAAGGTGGGTGTTTGTGCTGGAAATGTTGGGATTATTTAAATTATTTCCATGTCCTGAAAAGCTTTGGAATTTCTCAGACAGTCAGGGAAAAGAGGCCCTGCAATTAACGTGTATTGTTATTATAGATCATTCTGCTAATTACTTCTCTAAAAAGATAGATTTGGATCAGTTTTATGTTGTTAATGTTTTCTGATCGTGAACGTTTGTGTATTTCTTTTCATTGCTCAGGTGATAGGCACTCCCTCGGTAGCCTGGCTTTTGAAACAGCTCGTCCCGCTGATGAGAGCAGAGAGTTTGGAGATCACCGAGTCTCTGGTGCTCGGGTTCGGATGCACAAACGCTCTGGTCTTCAGGTACTGCAACAGGAGCGTTCAGAAATGTGCACCGACGATACACATGCATCATTCTCATCAGTGCTAGATGTTGTTTTCCCTTCTAAGATGTCAAATAGTTTGTAAAACACATTTCTGATGTAATGCTCAGATGTTCAACAATCATAAACTGTTTATAACAATAAACACACAAAGCCTGAATGGAGGGAATGCCAGTAGACAGATCGCAACAGAAAATGGATGATGTACTAGATTTGACCCTTTCCTCTTACATAAATCCTTTCACGCTGCTTTCTTCTATTACTGAATCCCACATGTCCTTACATTCGCTACATAACTGAGCTGCATTCCTCTTTGACATTCAGAAAAGAAAAGAAAAAAGTGTGTCTTTAGAGGGACAGAGATGTATCGCATTTTTTCAAAGGGCAACGGTTCCATTGTGTGTGGGAGGTATTTCATTTTTAAAGAGATCATCTATCTATAATCTAAAATGTTTTCCAAAAGGGCGCTCATTGTTGTCAAAGGGATTAAGGTCTCCCCAGACGAATTTGTCTAACATGGCTGTATGAGGATTAGTGGTGTTTAGGACAAGATGGATATCTGTTACAAACCATTCTGTTTCCTTGAATCAGGCCGTCCTCCATCGACAAGGAAGGATGATTTGATCACTCTCATTCAGCAATGAAGCAATCAATTGATTTTTGCCCTCTTTGTCCTGTTTATAGGGAGCTAGTGGAAGAACTCCATCCACTGATGAAGGAAGCGCTGGAACGTCGGCCCGAGGTAAAACACAAACACAGCGAGAGAGAAACACACCGACAGCACGGAGAGAGGATCAGATTAACTTTATTGATATCAGACAGAACATTGTGAAAACCTACTCCTGATGTAATGTACTAAGAGTTTAGAAGTTGTCTTTTATGTTGTACTTGTACATAGTGTATGCTTATAGCTATTAGAGATGCTTTCCATAGGTCAATAATGTCTAATTATTTATGAAAGCTGACGCTAAGGTTCAGTCTCTGTAAGTTCAGAATCCAATATACACAAAACAACACGCATATATTGACTTACATTGAGCAGTAAATGGAAAACCTGTCTGTGCTTTCAGAACAAGCGGCGCAGAGAGAGGAGGGATCTTCTCAGGCTGCAGCTGCTGAGGATCTTTGAACTGCTGGCTAATGCAGCCGTTATCAGCGACAGGTAGCACACACCTTTTATCTAGAGCGTAGTTTCTTGCCTGCCGATGCACCTGTAAACTCATCTTCTCCTCCCCTGCAGCACTAATGGAGCACTGGAGCGAGACTCGCTGGCCCTGGGTGCCTTGTTCCTTGAGTATGTGGATCTGACCCGGATGCTCCTGGAGGCTGAGAATGAGAAGGAGATGGACGTGCTTAAAGATATCAGAGCCCATTTCAGCGGGATGGTGGCTAATCTCATCCAGTGTGTTCCTGGTAAATCACTATATTACTCTTTAATGATGTAATATATTGGCTTTCGCAGTGTTTTGACAAGCTACGTTCTAGTCAGACTTAAATATACATTTGTAATCTATCAGCATTTTCATTTGTCTTCTATTTTGACCCTCCATGTCTCTCTCTCTCTCTCTCTCTCTCACCCTCACATCTTTGCAGTCCACCACAGGCGCTTTCTCTTCCCTCAACAGTCTCTGAGACACCATCTCTTCATCCTCTTCAGCCAATGGGCTGGACCCTTCAGCGTTATGTTCACTCCCCTCGATCGGTACAGCGACCGCAACCACCAGATCACTCGCTACCAGTACTGCGCTCTCAAGGTACCGATACCCAAACGTCCCAGACCCTGCTGCACTACAGGAGCTATTCTGTCATTTTCTTACAGAAACTTTAGCGTTAACTCGATGTAACTTTTTGTCTCTTAGGCCATGTCAGCAGTTCTGTGTTGCGGTCCCGTGTTTGACAATGTGGGTCTCTCTACTGACGGCTATCTCTACAAATGGCTTGACAACATCTTGGCCTGCCATGACCTACGGGTAGGTCCACTGTTGCCTTTAACTTGTTGCACAGGAGCTTTCTATGTGTTGTTGGATATTATTTGTCATAACCCCTTAAGAAGTATGATGAACATGATCTGTGTGGATTCGTACCTCTACATAATAACATGTGTTTGTCGTAGGTGCACCGTCTGGGGTGTGAGGTGGTCATCCTGCTCTTAGAACTAAACCCAGACCAGATCAATCTGTTCAACTGGGCCGTGGACCGCTGCTTCACTGGGTCTTACCAGCTAGCATCTGGTTGCTTCAAGGCCATCGCCACTGTCTGCGGCAACAGGTGGGGAATCATGCGTTTGTTACCTTCGTTAGAATCTGCCTGTTACGCCCCCCCATATAGGAGGCTAGGTAGTCTGCAACCATTGAGTTAGTAACCAGCAACTAATGACTATTTCCTCCTCACTTTGCCAGGAATTACCCATGTGATCTTGTGACCCTGCTCAATCTGGTGTTGTTCAAGGCCTCAGACACCAGCAGGGAAATATATGAGATCTCAATGCAGCTGATGCAGGTACATACACACATACACAAAGGGTGTTAAAGAGGTGGGAAAGACGAGCACAAGCATCAAGCCAAAACCTGCAATGCATTATCAGAGTAAAAGATAAACAATATGTCTGCAGGTGCTGGAGTCTAAGCTGTGTGCGTACTCGAAGCGAATGGTGGAGCAGAAGCCTGGGAATATTTTGTACGGAACACACGGTCCTCTGCCTCCGCTGTACAGCGTCAACCTGTCTCAACTCTCCATCCAGCTGGCCAGCATGTACCCCGAGCTCACTCTGCCTCTTTTCTCAGGTAGATGTTTTCAGGGTGAATGTGTACATTCCAGTGAGATACGCTGAATGTTTGCATGTAGTGTCCCCATTAAATCTTAAAGCCAGGTAAGAATACCCCCAAAACAGCACAATCTTTTTAAACTCTCACATTCAAAACTCCCAAGAGGCCAGTATACTCCCTGAGATAGCTGTTACATTTGCTCCCAATGTCTCTCTGCTGTTATTGAACACATTTAAAGAACGCTCAGCTTCCCTAAAAAGGCACTTCTAACATTTTTTTCCTCTGACATTTTTTTGGCCCGTCCAGAGGTGAGCCAGCGTTTCTCAACCACCCACTCCAACGGCAGACAGATAATGTTATCCTACCTGCTACCCTGGCTCAGTAACATTGAGCTGGTGGACACGGGGCTCCTACCCCCAGCCTCAAGCCCCTGCACACCAGAGGAAGAACCACGCGGTCAAGGGCAGGGCATGTCCCCCAGTCTGAGAGGCAACGGCTGGGGCTCCTTACAGGCGACATCGCTGGTGCTCAATAACCTCATGTTCATGACTGCTAAGGTATGAAGCTATGTTTGGGCTTGTTTGTGAAATTACTCCTCCTTTTCCAGTGAGATCTCCTGCCTTTCAACTTGATTTTTTTCCTCTCTTCACATTATCAGTACGGAGACGAGGTTCCTGGCCCAGAGATTGAGAATGCCTGGAACGCTCTGGTGTCCAACGAGAGGTGGAGCAACAACCTGCGGATCACCCTGCAGTTCCTCATCAGCCTGTGTGGAGTCAGCAGTGATACCACACTGTTGCCTTTCGTAAGTGCCGTCAGTACCCACCGACACAATGCTAATGAAAGCCCCACATGAAATTGAACTGGTGTGCCCCCTGTTAAAACTCTCATAAAAATACTGTGTGTTTGTATCCGTTTTAGATAAAGAAGGTGGTTATCTACCTGTGTCGCAACAACACCATCCAGACGATGGAGGAGCTCCTGTTTGAGCTGCAACAGACGGACCCAGTCAACCCTGTGGTGTTGCACTGTGACAACCCTCCATTCTATCGCTTTGCTGCCAGCAACAAAGGCTCTGCCTCACAGACGGGTAAGAGGAGACGGTCCCGTCATAGTCTCATCTCAACCTCGACTTTCAGTTTGAGCTTGACAGCTTTTTTATGTGACGGATGATTGACTGTATTTCTGAAGATTGTATCTCTGGAATGTGTTATTTTCAGGCACCACGTCCAGCAGTAACACTGTGGTGGCTGGCCAGGAGAACGTGACAGACACAGATGAGAATAAGCTGGTCAGAGAGAGTGAAGAGCGGTTAGTATCAATACATTATTTTGAATACATGCAGCGGTCTCTCAAGGGTACATCACATATGCCAAACATGTCGGTATCATATGAGTGCAGTTATGCAGTTCAATTAAATAAAGACTTTCAAACTTTTCAGTCACGAGATAAGACTAATTCTGTATTTTGAACTTTTAATGTCATGCGTTTGCCTCAGCATGGCCAGGGCTCACAACAGACTGGAGTCTCGCTACAGCAACAGCTCCGGGGGCTCCTACGAGGATGAAAAGAGTAAGTTGTCTTGGTTCTCATGAGAATGAATGTACAAACCAGCTTTATTTTAATAATGTGTACACACACACACACACACACACACACACACACACACACACACACACA